ACATCTAGATTTGATGACTTAGTGCTTCTTTGTCCAGGGATGGTTACCCCGGAAAGTAAGAAGATTGAGAGGTTTATCTTGGGATTAACCCAGCCAACCAAAGGGAACGTCTTAGCTGCGAAGCCGGATACATACGACACTGCCAAATGCCTAGAGCAAATCTTGATCGACCATAGTGAGGACGTAGAGGAAGCAGCTACCACTCTTGAGCCTGCAGAAAGAAGTGGTGAGAAAAGAAAGTACTGGGAGGCAGGGGAGAAATGTCAGCCTTCACAAGAGTTCTCGAAGAAACAACAGATGGTGGCGGTCCACGCTGCCACTACCCCTGCTACTGTTTCTGTTGTAGGTTTCCCAGCCCAAGCACCTATCACCGGATATGCCGGTGTTCTTCCGTGGTGTAACTAGTTCAGTTACCACCACTATATCCCCGGTCCCTGTCGTGTAAAATTTTGCAAAAATTGTGGCCAAGAGGGTCACCTTGCGCGGAGTTGCAGAACACCAACAAATCAAGCTTCCAGGGCGGGCATCAGTCAGGCCTGTTATGGTTGCGGTAAAGTCGGGCATTATAAGAGAAACTGCCCCAATACAGCAATAACTGGCAACACTGGAAGAGTCCTAGCTATAGGACAAGGGGAGGCAGCCGCCGATCCCACCGTTGCCTCAGGTATATTCCTTTTCGACAACCATTCTGTTTGCAATCCTTTTCAATTCTAGTACTGAAAGATGAACTGTTAGCTATTCATTCGAACATCTTCATAAACATAGCCCTCAACTAATAACCGAAACATTTACCATCGAGATAGTTAACGGTGAGAAAGAAGGCACGTCACATTCTGAAATGCGCATCCCGAGGTACATAGAACTTTTTGAAATCCCCATTAGGATTGATTCCGTAACCTACGAACTCCGATTACCCTCAGGATTTAGTAGCATCCACCCGGTATTCCACGCCTCTTTCCTTAAGAAGTGCCTACCCGATGAAACCATAGTAATCCCTTTGAAGAGACCGAAATCAACGAAAGTCTAAACCTTATGGTAAGAGCCAATCGAAATCATAGAGCGAGAGATTAAATGTATGAAGCAAGCCGTCTCCCGATAAGTGAAATGTTCCACGAAATGCCATGCGAGAATCCAAATTCACTTGGAAGCGTGATGATCCAATAGAGCAAAAGTATCCATATCCTCTTTCCAATTCCGCGAGTCGCATCTAACGTTTGAATTTCGGGACGAAATTCCCTCTAACGGGGGGATAATGTGACAACCCGAAGTTCGTTCCGTCGTCGTAACCCGATACGTCATTAAAAATCCGTTGTATTAAATTCGTTCCGTTAACCTTTGCGTTAAATAAATTTTATCGCGACATTTATTTTGATTTCGTAAATGTCGGAATGTGTTATAATCATTAAAAATATTTTCCATATTTTTTTGGAAAATTATTATTTCATGTAAATCGTAATTACGGCAAATTTATCGGGTTCGACCAAAAGCACCGTCTAACGGCAGTATCGGGTAGAATTCCTCCGGGCCACAAACTCAACCCCTATATAAGGGATTGAGTGACATCATTTTGAGGCTTTTACTCTCTCTCTAAAAACTTTCTCTCACTACTCTCTCTCTCTCTAAAATCCAAACTTAGCCAAAATCATCCAAAACAAGCTCCAAATCACTAAGGTAACTTCCCTAACTCATGAATTAGCATCTTAGACCTTCAAATTCGAGATTTTTATGAGGATTAGGACCATTAGCATGAGTTTACGGTCCTAGAACATCCCTAGGCCGTGAACTCATGAAAATGGGGTTTTTGTGCCATAAAACCCTTCCAAAACACTTCTAGGGCTTAGATTCGACTTAGAAACTTGCATGCATGGACTAAGGACCCCAAAATCATGATATTTGATGTATAAACATGAGTTTACTGCCAAGAACCTTCTTGGACCGTAAACCCCATGCATGAACCATAAACTCCTTTTAAGGTGTTAAAATGCCCTTAAACACCTTCAATGAACTTCCATGAGTGCTTATATCCTTAGAACCCTTCTAGAAATGCACCAAAACATCATAAATGGGATAAACTTGAGTTTACGGCCCAAGAACATTCTTGGACCATAAACCCACCTCCTTAGACCGTAAACACCCAACAAAGGGTGTTAAGGTGCCTTTAATCCCTTGAAAAGCTTAGTTTTGGACCTAGAATCACATGTGATTAAATTACAACCATCAAAGCCCTTAATTCATGGACAAACATGAGTTTACGGTTGTAAACTCATGTGTTTAAGGTAGTAAACTCCCAAAGAACACCTTCATAGACCGTAAACTCCAATCCCAAGGCCATTTCAAGTCCCGATCACTTCCTAAGCCATGGAATCAACCCTAGAACCTTCCCGTGTGCATTGTAAGACTTTGTGGCATCCAAGAACACACCAACCATGAGTTTACAGCCGTAAACTCATGGGGAATGAGTCATTAGAACCGTAAACCCTCTTATGAGTTTACTCTTGAGGAGTAAACTCCATATCCGAGCCTTATACGTCCCTAGATGTCACCCGGGTCACTCCAAACACTTGATTTGAAGTGTTTTCGCGTCTTGGAGTGTATAATCATATCTAATTAGTGATTTAAAGTCTAATTAGATACATTTGTATATCATGTCATATTACATAGGAACCTTGCGCATTATCAAGCTGATACTTAGCATCCAATCCGACACGCTTCTCGACCGGTGAGTTCATACCCCTACCCCTTTTCAAATGTTTTTCACTGTTTTCAGGGGGAATACAAGCAAAAGTACAAGGAAATCTTGTACTCCAACTTATTGTTTTCAGTTATTCTGTATGTTCTAATATCAAAAACTGTGTTTATCAAATAGTTTGAATTACAAAGTTAGCTTTCAAACTAATCATAGATTTCTTGATAAAGTGTTACAATCTAAATTATATTTCATAATATGCGAATAATTTATACTAATCATCAATTAGAACAAATACGAATACGAATACGAATATGAATACGAATACGAATACGAATATGAATACAAATAGTATTAGGAGTAGGATTAGGGATACGAATACGACTGCGAATATGAATACGAATACGAATACGAATACGAATAGTATTAGGAGTAGGATTAGGGATACGAATACGACTGCGAATACGAATACGAATAGTATTAGGAGTAGGATTAGGGATACGAATACGACTGTGAATACGAATACAAATACGAATGCGAATACGAATACGATTGCGAATACGAATACGAATAGTATTAGGTGTAGTATTAGCGATAGGAATACGACTGCGAATACGAATACGAATACGAATAGTATTAGGAGTAGGATTAGAGATAGGAATACGAATACGAATACGAATACGAATGGGATTAGGAATACAACTAGGAATACGAATACGAATACGAATACGAATACGAATGTGAATGTGAATACGAATAGGACCACAAATAAAATACGAATACAATGACATGTATCTAGGTACACTCCAGTGAAACACCATTAGGATATCAGAATATCTAGTTAATACAATAAGTACGAATGGTAATCAATCATTACAACAAAATTCAAAATCTAAACTTACTTTTAGGAAAATATAGGATTTTCCTAGGGAAACATTGAACATAACCACGTTTTACAAAATACATCTTTTACATTGATAACCAACATTTAGAAAAGTATGGGACTTTTCTGGGATCATAGTTAAACATAACCAGAACCGTGTAACCAACAATTAATCAAACATTACTTTTAAGAAAATATGGGATTTTCTTGGATAACAAACTTTTCGGAAAACCAAAGGAAACTCCTACATTTTCACAAAACAACCATCTTATGAACTCACCAGCTTTATGCTGATTTTCAAACTGCTTGTATTCTCAGGTCTACATTAGACAGGTACCTAGCGATCCTTTTGGAGAAGACGGAGCGTACAGAAGACTCGTATCTACTTTTGTTCATATATACTATGTATTACAAATGTACAACTTTACTTTTGAACAAATGTAAACTTTGATATGTAATGTAATGGTTGTTTACTTTGCTTACTATGTGCATTGGATTTGATACTCAACATGGAGTCCGCCCCGGAAATGTTTCCGCCTTAGGTTTTCAGGGTGTGACAAAAGCTTTGGTTTACGAAACTTCTTTCAGCTCCACTAACGAAGAGGATACAAGCATAAGAATTATCGAGAAGGAACATACCCGTGACTATTGTGGGGCCTGCTACTGCTTCATTGTGACCAATAGCAAGTACTCTTCCTGTCCCTCCCGTAGTCCCAGCTTTCGGGCAGTTTCTTTTGAAGTGTTCGATCTCTCCACAGCCATAGCAGGCTTGACTGACTCTGGTACTGGAAACTTGACTGATGGGTTTGGGTTGAGACCTGCAAAACCGGACGGTAGGACCCTTTCAGTTGCAGTTTGTGCAGTGCATTTAACGGTAGGGGCCGTGATCCCATAATTTATATTTTCTTAATTCTTTTTATTTGGCGCACTCTTGCACTAAAATCCTTGTGATTTTACAAAGTCTGGTTTCTGTTCCAATTAGTTATTTGATTTCTGAAGACATAAATATTGGTCATACTTCCAGTGGCTACTGTTCTAGCTTATGAAAAGTTGGAGGGTAGATCGTTGATTCTGAACATGATAATTCCAAAATTGGTGATTCTGAAAAGACCATTTCATGGTATTGGATAATTCAAATCTTGGCGCTAATTTTGAATTTCCCTGACACCGCGTGTTTGTTATAACGACATCTGACAGTAAATTGATGATCTGGCACATTTTTTGGCACTATGTGCACATGAACGATGGTTTCTCTCTCCACTCATCATCTTTGATATATAAGGATTTCAAATGGTTTATTTTCTCTCACCATAAACATTGCTCACAAATTTTCAAGCAAAATCAAAGCCATATACTGTTCATTTTCTTCAACATTCTTCCATGGCTTCCTCAAAGAACGTTTCATTTGCACATTAATCCGCCTCTATCATCATGTTGGTTGTCATACCCAACCAGAATCTCATGATTGATCTTGTTGCATCTTGCTACAATACTCTAATAAGACCTTTGATCGAGTGTTTGAAGTTCTCACCACAGATGAAAGCTCTAACAATGTCAGAAGATATTCCTCTTGTTCATCTCTCCAAAGCTTTCTCCATTTCAATCTACAACAAATCTGAATACGTCATCAACTTTGAGGTTTCAGACTACAAAACTTCGATCACAAATCCCAATTTTTGCAAACTTTTAGGGCTTGTTATGCCTGAAGTTAGTGTTGATCCTGAGTCAATTCGTGCCACCTACTTGATCGAGATGTTCTTCCAAATGGACTATAGTGGTGATATCTCCTTGCTATCAAAGTTCATAAAATCCTTCTTACCTCCGATGTGGAATTGGTTGTTTATCGTATTGTTCAACATCTTATCAGAAATGGTTTTGGGTTCTGACAGTGCAAGAAAACTTTTCTACACTTTGATCTATGGTTTATACCATGGTATCAACATGGACTTTGGGTCTGTTATTTGGTCACAATTTATTCAAAGCACCAGTTTATCCACACAACACACGTAAATTTCATGTGCTCATTATTAGTCTATCATTATAAACAGAGCACCAAGTCACTACAAGGTCCCTCAGATACAAGACTCTGTCATGGCTGAAATTATGATGCTCTAAACGATTATATTTGTTATGTTGGATCCATGAAACTTTGACTTTGTTGGCTCAATTTCGAAAGTATTGTTGGAGAAAGTTCCACTTCACAACGCACTTATTAAGGATGGTCAAGAAATGCCCTCTTCTAGTGTTCGTCCCATCCATACAAAATTAAATAAGATTAACAATGAAGATGATAAACCGAAGCACAGTGGTAAAAGGAAGGCAAAGGCTGCTCCTTCAGAAAGTGTCAAAGTTACAAAGAAAACAAAGAAGCCAGTTCCGAAACTGAGGTCGCCCTCTCCAGTGCTTCAAGAAGAGTCTAAAGAGAGAACTGTCACAGAAGTTCAGGAGGACAACACTCTTAGAAGCGATGAGGAAGATACGGCTCATTCAGAACCAGCCACTATCGAAACACTTCTGAAGGTATCTTCTCATCCTTCCTCCTCACTTACTGAATCTGATATCTTTGATAATATCATGAATGAACCATTTTTGAACCTGGCCATACCACTTCCTCCACCTCCATTCAATCTACCCTCATCACAAATGACATCCTCACCCATCACCTCCTCAATTCTAATGTCCTCCACCCTCCTTTACCACAAACGAGTTCTGCTAAAACCTACTTCCTTCCACTTAAATTCCAATCTCCTCACCAATCTCCACAGACTCAACCATACCTACAACATAAACTATCTCCTATCCAGCTGAAGTTCAATTATCAAATCCATTTTGGAGGAGATTCGAACTTCAAGCATCCCTGGTAACACATCTGATGTGGGGCCAAATGCTAACATTATTGTGACTTCTAAATAGCCTTCCACTTCTATTCCTCCTTTTGATGATGATGTTGAAATCCTGTTTGGAGATGATCACGAACCAATTATCGACTTCATTTTCCATCCATTTACTATCAACATCAACAATGATGATGATGAGGCACAAATGACCAAAGCTCGGTTCAAGCAACTAAATGAAAAGCTTGATTCGGTTTTGAAGTATTCACATGCCTTCTCTTCCACCAAATGGGAAAATTTGTTGATGACTCATAGAGCAATGGTGGAAATGATTACATCCTCAATTGCCAATGTTCTTGAAGAAACAACAAAAGCTAATCAAGCTTCCAAACAAAAAATCATAGAAACTACAGAAAAGGTCCAGACATTACAATAGGAAGTTAAGGATTTCATGATTGACTTCTGGACTTCTTCTAAAAATAATATTACATATATGAACAAAGTCATAGAAGGTTTTCGATCTTCTTTGAAAGATGAAAAAGAAGCTCTCTTATCCCTCCATGCGGCCATTAAGCTTGACAATGTTGATCTCAATTCATCAATCTCTGCACAGCTCAACAAGTTACAAAATGACTTCGCCGTTGAAAACAAGATCATGGATGCATTGTTGAGCAAACTCAAAAAGAGAAGGTTCTTACTAAAAAGATGAAGAATGTATCAACTAATATTACCAAGCTTGAAGAAGAGAAACAGTCAGTTAAAGCTTGTAATTCTGAAATCAACCAGCGATTGTTGTGAATCGTTGAGAACTGAAATTCTCTATTCACTGACTCAGTGCATTAGTCTCTCACTGAAAAACTCAAACCTATGTTCACTTGCTTAATAAGATCCAAGGTGTTTCAGGATGCGGGGAATCTTTGAAACAAGGGGGAGAAGAAGAGGAAAACTTGAAAAATGAGTTTGGTCTGAAGGATAATGAAGCTTCTGGATCCGGAAAAGACAAAGGAAATATTGTTTCTAAAGAGGATTTTGAAGAAAATCCAAAAATGATTGAGTCGAAAATAGCAGCAAGAGAGAAAAGGGATAAAGAGCTTGACCAACTCAATACCCTCAAGCAACAACTTGATGCCGAAGAAGTTGAAGTCAAAATTTGAAAATTGATCCTTGAAAATCATAAAACCTTGTTTCCAGCCTGGACTCTTGAGCGAATTCAAAAGGACACAATCGATGATCCAAATATTTATTGGTTGGAACCAACAACCTCTTTTGACACAAATAATGATGCAGAGTGTCAGTTGGATTTTCCCATCACTCCAAGGGTGTTTCTCTTCAGTTGTTTTGGAGAGACAGAGAAATCCTGGATCTCCAACAGTTCTATACACCAAAATCTCTTCTTGTTCTATTTGAAGAATGCAAAACTACAATATGAGTCATGGGATTTCGAGGTGCCAATCATGTTCTACACGAGTTTACTTTTGTTGATCTGCCAATCATGAATCCTAATGATTGGATCTAGCTGTTTTACATTGTTGTGAAGGATGTGAAGAAATATGAGCCCATTTAAGAATAATTTAAGCGGATGATCAAATGTTATATCCTAGAAATTGCTAAGATGGGTGTCGAGATAGCTTTTGTTATGAAGAAGATACCAATTTTGAAGCTGTTTGATCAACCGGAATACATCCAACAAGTAAAGGGAGGTCTCATTAACAAGAAGCATTGGAGCAAAGTTTACAAAATAAAATAAGGAGAAGAAATTAAGAAGTGCATATTTTAGAGAGATAAGCATTTGTACCCTACAAGTGCTCTAAACTCCATTCGTACAAGGGAAAAAACGAACAGGACCAACTCAGTTGTGGATGTTAAATGTGTTTCGGATATGATCTGTTAGTATATATCTATCCGAACATCACTTCTAAAGATTATGTCAAATATTTTTGACGCTCAAAGGCAATAAAGGAGACCTCCTTCCAGTTTAACACAAACGGGGAGATTGTTAAGTCTAATTTAGTGTTGTGTCAAATAGTTGTTTTCAGATTTATGTTCTATTCTGATTCTGAAATAGGGCATGTCTATTTTCGGAATCAATATATTGTTTAGTCTACATAGCGTATAAATGTAACATCTAGAGTTATGTCTTCTTCCAGCACTAAAAGAATACTTCTACTTTCACGAACTGTTCTATTGTTGAGATTAATGATATCCAACTACTTTTCAATCATTATCATTCCATATCAATTATTCTTCTTGTAATATAGAATCTATCGACTTATGACTATTTCTATCACTAACTAGCATAAGTCAATTTAATAACTTTAACCCCAATGATCATGCAAGTTACTGACACTAAATTGATTGATAATTTGGACTCTGAATGATATAATCTGTAAGCTATTTTTCTATGGTCAAGTCTATTAATCAAGTAAATATTATGATTAAATACTGCTCTCTAACACAGTTAGGCAACTAGCTTATCACCTACACTAGGATATAGTCAATCTCTAGCTCTAGCAATTTAATGGTCATAAACAACTAGGTAAATCATTTTCATGAAATTAACTATAGTTTTAACTATACAAAACTTGAGACAAGGAAATAAAGATAGAAACTTTCACAAGCTAGGTTTAGACTTATTAAATAGTATTTAAAGCAAAAACCAACTTCATCAATCCATCAAATAAGAAAACAACCCATAGTATTTAGGAGGTCATCTAATCTAAACAAAAGCAAGGGTTTTTAGCCCATAATCACAGCTGATGAATGCCTAAACAAAAGATAAACTAAGCTAAACATCATTAAGCTATGCAAATTGAATGTGTAGATGTGAATCCTTGCTCCAATCGACTTCCTAGCTTCAAAATCTACCCCAAAGGGTTCTTAGAAGGGTTTTTGTCGCAATACTTCTCCAGAAAGTCACCTCCAAGTCCCCCAATTCATCCTAATGTTCGGATATGTATACTTGCGTAAAATCTAGCCACCACGTCGTGGTCCTCATGTTTATCCCGTATTCTCTAAGTTAGCGTCAAGAATCATGAAGATTCCATTCACTACATTCTGGTTATCGAGAATCGACATTTTCTCAAAACATGAAAGTTATCTGAAATCGTGTCTAGGTTTTTAGATCATTTTGAATCGTGTCAATCAGAGTTACAGTCATGAGATATGACAAAAATACTGACAAGTGGTCAAGTTGTCCGACAACATTCTTTTTGTGTCTTCGACTTGCCTAAGCTTGCATTTTCCTGCTTCTAGTTTCCATATTTCTTCCGAGCATGTCTTTTATGCTACATAACAACATATAATGGATTAAATACCTTTTGTTTTATAATAATCATAATTATAGCTAAAAGTATTAAGCTATGATGTAATATATATATATATATATATATATATATATATATATATATATATATATGTGTGTGTGTGTGTGTGTGTGTGTGTGTGTGCGCACGTATCAATTCTTACCCTACCACTAACTAGCATGCAATTCTATCAGCTCATAGAATATCAACTCTACACTACTCATAGTATAAATTGAGGTATTTTGGGAAACTACCGTTCTAGCTTTGGTTGATTGTACACACTGCTTCATTGGATTTTTCTCTTATAAAATCTTCATTTCTTTGAAAAGTTTTTATGAAAATCTTCAGATCCTTAGTTTGAGTTTGGAATTACCCTAAAGTTTATTCAAATCCATTAAACCAGGGCTCTGATACCAATTTGTAACACCTCAAATTTTAAACCGAAATTTTCATTTTTAAAATACCAAAATAATGTTCATAAACCAATTCATCAAGAACATAATTGTCAAATACAAATCATCCTCAGAAAATATCAAAGTATCACAGATTACCCTATGGCCCTGGTAATAATTCTCCTAGTGAATGTGTACAATCAAACCTTTGCCTTCCTGCAATCCTCAGAAGTACCTGAAATATATATATATATATATATATATATATATATATATATATATATATATATATACATACATATATATATATATACATATATATATATATATATATATATATATATATCAACAACTGTAAGCACGAAGCTTAGTGAGATCTCCAAGATACACATACAACACAACATAAATAAACAGCTAGGTTTATCAACAACCCTTAGCACTATCAGCAGTCCCAATAAGCAACAACACGTCTTATGGGTTATCTTCAACCTTGGAGGCTATACATAGTCTCATTTATACATAATCAGCATAATACAAAATAATAGTTAGACCCAACTGGTCATCACACAAATATAACTATTCTACTACATAGGTAAGAATAAGTGAAGAGAATCACCTGATACAGATGACAAATAAATCTCGCACCTGAAATACCGGAACTGGACTCCGCCTAATAACACAATAATTAACCATAATTAATAATTAAGGTCCATAACTCAACCCGCAAGTCCAAATCTCACAACTAAGCCACTTAAGGGTAAAAAGACCATTTTGCCCCTCCAATGATCCAATACCCAAAATTTTGACCAAAGATCAAAATTCAGCAAAAGTCAACTGCCCGGCTTGTATGTTGGGCGTACTCTTGTCCTACGTGGACGGTACTTGAAAATCATGCAGGATCAGGGTAACACCTGGCTACGTTAGGCATAGTAATTAGTACATGGGTCATACGCAGTCTAACCCCTAAATATTACTTCAAAAATGGTCTTAATCATTAAGACATGCATCCAAACTCATATCCGACCTTCTTCGAACGTCTTAACCCATAAAGTCACCAAATTTATGCCTTTGAATGGCTAGAAAGGACCAAATACACAAAACTTTAACTTTCATCACACTCCAAGTCAATTAACTCATGCATGTGCCAACGGAAATGATCAAGCAACCATTTTTATGAATCTACAAGACCTAATATGCATGAAAGGTGTCACACCCCCGAACCAGACGGCGGAAACGTCCGAGGGCTGTTGTGACTTAATTGAATACCATAACATTGAATATATATATATATATATATATATATATATATATATATATATATATATATATATATGAAACATAACATCGTTCATCACCATGCATTAATATAGTACAACTGGTAGAGTTTACACTGAGTACATTGTTTTAACATTACATTCCCAAAAACAAATTGTTCGATTCATAACTAAATAAACTGCAAGCCATCAATGAGTACATTTTCCTTTGGTTCACTTGTTACCTGAGAATACAAGTATTTTGAAAAATGTCAACATATGAAATGTTGGTGAGTTCATAAGCGGTATTTGAAAAGCAACGTTTTGTATTGTTTTGAAAACTACCAGAAAATCCGATATTTTCTGAAAAGAGTTTATGAAAAAGTTTGTGAAGATCCATAAGTATGCTTGTTTGTTTCTATAGTTGTAAAAAAATGTTCATTAAACTTGTACACATTTTGAAACTGTATGTATAAAAAAATACCCTAGGAAAACCCGATGTTTTCCTAACACTTTGAATTCCATGTAGTTGTTGTACCATCGCGGCATGTGAAGTCATTGATTCCCGGCGACGTCGGATTATTGCGCATGGTGAATTATTATAAACACGCGTTACACAAACGACCAGTTTACGATTATACTAACAATCCCGTAGGCATCGTTCATACTATTCACGTAACCCAACCGCCCTGACTTCGTGTAGCCCCATGACCGAGGAGAAGAGAGGGTACGAAGATCTCAATAATCCCATTAGTCGGTCGAGGCTATAGTGAATGCGAAGAACCCTTGGCCCGACTCGCATTTGGTGAACTCTCGACTTTAATAGCAGTACCAAAGGACCCTCGGGGACCAATAGTATAAAATCCATTGAAAGTTCTTTTACGCTGTGTTGGATCATGTAAGACCCAACAACTCGTAAGGTTGAAGTCTTCGGGCCTAAAGATCAGGACATTGGGCCAGCTAGGCCCAACAAACAAGATTTTACACTCTGGGGCCCAAAGATGGTGCGTCGACGTCTGTGCACTCTCACGTGTGTATTGAATTCCCGAATATTACTTGTAGGAATCGAGTGATCGTCGTGTGAGTAGTTTCGGGTTTGTTATTGATTCGAGACCGAATCAATTCGTTTGATAACGATTTTTGGTGTTGTTGTGTATTGAAATCCGTCGATAGTTGTAGTGCCATTATTTGATCACAACGGATGTAT